TATTTTCTAAAGATGTGGAAATGGCACAAAAAAAAACTTGAGAGCTGTAACCAAGACAACTGTAACAACATGAGTAGACAGCCACCAAGGTTTTTCAAGTCCCTCTCTTACTCCATTTTGCCAACCCAAACTTCCAGGTACATGACGGGACACCTTGCTTGTTTTTGTTGTTTGCACTCCTCTGGCAGGTGGAGGGCAGTGATCCCTTCCCTTCTTCCCTCAATCTTTGAGACTAATGTAAGTAGAATACATGGCACTGTAAATGTTCAAACATTTAAAATATTATACCACTTAAAAATAAGAAATATTACTTTTGTTACTAAGAGTTCATACTTATTATACCTGTGTCACCTTTCACACTATCGCTGTGATCATGAGCTATGGGCTTTGTAGATACAGGTCCCGGGGTGAATCGTGGTGCAGGGGCCCTTCTCTTTTTGACCACAGGGCGATGCACGAAGATGGTGGGTATAGCCTCTGCTCTCAGCCTTGCCCTTTTTTGTCTTGACAAACTGGTCTGCATCAAAATGTGCCTGCGGAGTGACTTGAGGTTACTTCACACACAGAACAACTCAGTTTTGTCTGCCCACATACATATTCCATAGTGGTTGAATACACAGTATTAGGAAACACTTTATACTTACTGGACATGTTATACTCATTACATACTGTATATACAATATGACCAAGAATGTGAGACAACTTTATAGAAATTCATATCACATATGTTACTGATGCCATTTGTCATACTTTGTTAAACTCACAAATAATAAAGTTCCATAACTTCAGTTGGGAACAAAGACCACACCTTATCTCCCCAAGGCAATTTCCCATCCAATAGGTGTGCTATATAGGTGTGTATAACCCTTTCTCCTGTCTGTTTATCCCTCTTTCAGCACAAGAACCAGAGGGGGATTCAATGGAGCCTGAATACCTGCACTGAGACCCTCACCCTGCACCCTGAGTCTCAACTCTCAGTGTTTTTCAAGCCTTTCCCTGTTTTTTGTATTAAACAAAACATTAAGCTTTCCTAATGGTGTGGTTTTCGTTTTGTGAAAAAGTGCAAATGCAGTGTTTGTATATAAATCACATATTTTTTTGCTGTTGGTCGTGAAATTGCTCCTGCTTCCTCCGCTCTGTGTCAGTGGGGAAGCCGTACATTCGTACTCCTTTCTCGGAGCGATTTGAGCATCCCCAGGCAGCACAGCAAACCATGGTGGCGACTAGGAGGCAGCACAGCACACCAGGACAACACCGAGGAAAAGGCACAGACAAACTGCATGATATGCTATTCAATGTTTATTGAATTCCATGTATTTGCAATGGATGTTCCTAAAACAACACATTTAACATCATCATCATCATGCTGCTGCTGCTAGTCCTTTGATAGTCACCTGTCGGTCTCCTGTCCTTTCTGAAAGCCATAAAGATGACATTAGTCATTTAGATAACTTGTGTCCTCAATTACCATGGGATTATTGAAACTACCATGAATTAAAAAAAATGGTAGACATTAATCTAATCTGAATTTTAAAGCATTACTTTAGATCCCCTCCTCTAAATATATCAATAAACATTAGAAAGTGATGCTCCTGACTACCATACAGGTTTAAGAAGATAATATTGGTTTTAAAGAATTCAAAGCTATAAATAAACAGCAACAGGCTCTTTAACCAAGGCACTGTTAGCCTACCATGTAAACTAGTTGTTCACACTAATCCTAATATTATCACTTAATATTAGCAAATTCTATTTTATTTTTTAAAACATATTGATGTAAATACATACACATATCGATTCGTTGTATACATTTTGCAAATCAAAACCTTTATTCACTAATAATTACCAAAAATCGTAGTTCTATCTCCTGTTATCAATGCATTCACATTGCCCGCCATGAACTTCCGGGGAACGATCCTCTTCTACATGAACCACGTGACGATAACCGTTTTTGGACTTCCGTTGTCGTAACTCTTCTATTATATGGCTCTGGGTATCATTAACCCTATACAGCAGCCTGTGTGTGTGTGTGTGTGTGTGTGTGTGTGTGTGTGTGTGTGTGTGTGTGTGTGTGTGTGTGTGTGTGTGTGTGTGTGTGTGTGTGTGTGTGTGTGTGTGTGTGTGTGTGTGTGTGTGTGTGTGTTGACTTACAGCAGGGTTTGTCAGCCTGGGTCTGTGCAGCATTTCCACAAGGTGACATATAGGCAACAGTTTCACAAACTGATGATAACTGCTGTCTATCACTGCTTCTGGAAACGTTGCGCAATCTCACAATAGCTATATATCAGGATACATGTGTGACATACAGTATATGTGTGTATATAATAGCGGCAAATGGAGTAGTAATATTTAGGGGTGAAGATGATGTAGACAGGATGGTATGATGTTACGCCTTGTCAAGACTGTCAGGACGAATATAGTTGGAAGAGCAATTTTAATGTCAATATCCTTTTGAGAGACACTGTTTTGTCAATAGAAATCCCAACTGCTTGTGTGTAGCAACTCACAGTGATTCTTTATCTTATTGTGGGGAATGTGTTTTTCCCCTTGTTCCCATCTAAAAAGGTCAGCGGGCGGGTTAACCTCCAAAGCAGCAGGGGAAGATTGAGTGTATTTGCTCAAAGGTGCTTCAGCATGACACATCGGCCTGAGGAAGAGCTCTTTCTCATGTGAGCTGTATCGACACTCATTTGATCAGATGGGGACGCTGTTCAAAAGATGCCATTGGACTCAAATGTTAATCAGTGACGTGCATTGGATAGGATTCAGTTTATTGTAAGATATCTGTGATAACTGGAAAATACATGACAAATAAACCAAACAAAAAATCACATGCAGTGTGCTCAATGTCACCCAAGGACTATATTGAGCACCTTGTGGTGGGGGTATTTTGTATGGCTCTTCACCTCTTAAAGGGGCTCCTCTGGGGTGAAGACTTCAGTGTAAAGGTTAGAATTAAGTTAGGAAAAGGGTTGGAGCTGTGGTATATAGTTAGGATGGATAAGGTTCACATTTGAGGCTATAGGGACTGTATTATGCCACTGAGTATAGAAGTATCTCACAAATATTGAGGTAAAATAGAAGTGTGTGTGTGGGTGAGTGTCTGCGAACTTGTGAGTGCATGTTAAAAAGCCTAAAGTCCCAGATCAACTCATTAAGTGTGTACACTCTAAAAAACAGTGGGTTATTTCATCTACCCAACCATGGGGTTATGAAATGTTTAACCCATTCTGGGTTATTAATATGGTATTGGGTTATTTTTGTGCAACCCAAGTACTGGGTCAAAATATTTTTGTCTACCCAACCATTTGGTTATGAAATGTTTAACTCATTCTGGGTTATTTATATGGTATAGGGCAGGGGCGGCGGGTGCTGTAGCGGCTAGGGAAGGCTAAGCCTTCCCAAATATTTGTGTCACTGCATCCTGGTAAAATACAAATATAGGCTAATGTATAATGTCTGTGTCTTTGACATTAGCGCTGCTAGCCACCCGCTAGCCCTGTACTACGAAGCCAGTTCAACATACCCTGGATATGTTTGAGTAACAAACAAACAAACGAGATCTCGCTAAGCGGTCCTACGACGCTGGTTATCAACTCGGTAAATCAAGCCAGGGTTTCTCTCACCAGATCTGACTTTAATTACATTTGACTCGAGTGTTTCGTGAACATAATGTATTGCTTAAAATAATACTTCTGCATACAGTATGTGACACTGTAAGTGTTGCACGGCCAGATATGGCTGGAGAAGCTGACTCAGATAAGGAAATATATGATATATTATAATATTATATGATCGATGATCTGATTGATGATGTAATATGAATGATAAGTGCGACACGTCGGCGTCTTCTCTGCATACGGCAGTTTAAACTGTATTTCCTTTATCCTGTAATATGACTTGAGAGATTTAAACTCTGCACACTGAGTTGATCTCTTTTCTATAGATGCCGGAGGCGGGCAGCGTCAGGTAAAAAAAGTGATTAAGCCTTTCCAAACCTGAGCCTCACGCGCCGGCGCCGCCTATGGTATTGGGTATTGGTTTGCATGAATCGCAACCATTTCACATGTATTAGATTCATTCATGTTGAGATAAACTGAGACAAAGGGATTAGGGTATATCTGATTCCCACTCCAGAGCAGAAGGTGGCGGTATAACCACCAATAAACTGGATACCAACCACAGTCTATGATACCAACTAATGTAAACAGAGACAAAAATCAATCTACTTTTAAATGTTCACGGTTGTAAAGATGTGAAACAACAAACATGGCTTGAACAATAAGGCATGCTACATTATTGACTGCTCTTGGACACTTCCATGGATGTATTAAGAGAACTCTGCCATGGTTTGATTTTGACCGCGATCTGGCGGGAAAGGGTTTCCCCTGCATCCTGTGTGCACTCGCGATATTTGGGCATAACCGTAAACTTAACCATCATCATCGCGAGAGAGGATCATTGAGACAAGAAAGACCGTTGGCGAAAGTTGGAGGAGGTAAGCAGAACACATTGTCATCTAACTGTGAAGCTGTTAATAAATGTCATCAACTGCTAGTCCATGAGCGATATTGTGGTAACGTTGATAGTTAATTTGTTATTTAGTGTTATTTTTTATCTCACTTAAAAAGCCGAATGAGCCGACAAACATGCTAAAGCTAACGTCGTTAACTAGCTAGTCTGTGTAACTGCCAGTTAGGGAGATGGTTCAAATATAGGATATCAGGATTGAAAACTAAAGGACGGTAGCATTACCCTGGGAAAGTTAAACGGAAAGTGTGCTACCCCAGGCGCTTATATATGTCAGTAATATCAGCCCCTTTTACAAAGGAATGTTGTGCCGTTATTCGGCTGCGTCACGTAAATTAGCTGCCAAGCTAGCTGCCATGCGGAGCTAGCTGCCATGCGGAGCTGACTGCCACTGTGGTTTTCGCTCTGCAGTTAATGTTACGTGACGGATGCCGCTTTGCCAGTGTCGGTAGTCGCACTCTCTGTCTGATAAGGGGACTAATAAGGTTTGGTGTAAAAAAAAGCAGGTTCTCTGTAACTTAACTTTCATTGGTCTCTCAATTTTTCACAGCAATTTGTGACTGCAAAAGTTCCTGTGGCTGCTGTCCGTAGTTGGTTAACTAATCTTGCTCTATTGTGGGTTGACCTGTTTCTAGCAGTCACAAAAGTGTATCACTCTATATAAAAATAAAGGCTTTGATATAACCATAAGTCTGCAGATAAAATACAATGCTAATAACCATAGTAAGTGGGGCTCATGTGTGCTAAATACAACAGGTAATACAAATAAATAAATAGGAGAAGCAGACATTTGTCAGTTTTAGTAGCCTCATCAACTGAATAAATTAGCCCCAGAAGTGAGGTTGAAGTCATGCAAATGTACATTTTATGTTTTGTTTTAATTAAGCTCTTTATGTGTTTTTTGTCTCAGATCAATGGACGATTTTGTGTGTGACACGTTGACACAGTGGCAGTTGACAGACGTTATTGATAGATTTAAAGGTAAGAACATGTTTTTTTTTAGGTTCACAGCAAGCAGATGGTCTGTATAGCTAGGTAAAGGAATTATTTGAAATGGCATTGACTGCATTGTATTTTATGTTACTGAAAATGCATTTTTATTCCAATAGCTTCCATGTAATTAGCCTCTTATTTTTTGCTGTTCTCCATGGTTTAAATAGATGTCCTTGTTTTTTGTTTTTCAGACGAGGGAATTGACGAGGAGAGTTTTCTTCTTTTAGACGAGGGGACCATCAGCCAATTGATTCCAAAAGCTGGCCCCAGGCTTAAGTTCCTCAAAAAATGTAGAGGACTTGTAAGTATAGTTAGATCACTGCAGATGTGAGAGGCTACACCCCTCCCCCACACACGCATATTCATTCTGAGGATTTGTTCAAATTTGTGAGCAGATGGCATATATTTGCTTTAAATGCAAAAGGCAAATTCCAGGGGATGCCAAGACTCTCTTTCAACATTTACGTGCAGTACATCACGTAAACCATTCATCAACATATTTCCAATGTAGTGAAACTGGTTGTGGTAGAACATTTTCTTTTATAAGGTCTTATAGAAGACACCTATTAAAGGAGCATGAAAACCAAAGTGATACTCTCGATGATCCCCTTGAAGGTCCAGCCCAGCCTGTTGACATACAGCTTGCTGAAAATGAGCCTGTACAGGGAGATGAGGAAGTTGAGGATGAATGGGATGAACTAGGGCAAGATGACATGACCAACCGGGTAGCCCTTTTTTTAGCTCATCTGAGGTCTAAACCTTCTGTAATTAGTAAGGATGATCTAAAAAAGGTTAAAGGCGCCATGCATCAATCAGCAGCTCAAATGTGGTGCCTACTTAGGTTGCTGCCGACAATGACCTGGTCCCCATGCATAGCAAGGAATGGAAACTTCTCCTACTGTTACTGTTATGTATGGAGTTCATCTTCTCTCCTTCTCTTACTGTTGAAGCAACACTGTACTTAGCTAAAATCCTTGAAGAGCATCACTCTCTCTTCCTGCAGCTCTATCCTCTTCACCATTTGCTGCCAAAACACCACTTCATGCTCCATTACCCAAGAGCCATTCAAAAGCTCGGACCCTTGACTCAGTTTTGGGCTATGAGATTCGAAGCGAAACACAACTTTTTTAAACGGGTTAGCCATGTAACATGCAACTTCCGAAACATTTGCAAAACCATGGCCTTTCGCCATCAGATAGCGCAGTGCTATAATTTGCTGTGTGGAACTGTGTTGAGCCACAATACAGAAGTCGGTCCAGGGCACACTACCTTTCTGGCCAACATTGAGGGAGTTAAAGACATCGAAAGTGGTCTAACAGGCATTCCCCTTTTCAGTGAATTGTATGAACCAGCCTTGGTTACCTTTAAGGGAACTGCATATCGAGCAGGCATGACTGTATTCCTGTCTTATGACCCAGATGGGGAGCCCCAATTTGGTCTCATAAAGTCCATTTTAGTACTAGACCAAACATCACACACACCAACAATAAAACTTGTTGTACAGAAGTGGGAAACACAATGGTTTGATAGGCATTTCTTTGCATACAGTGTGATTCCCACTCAAGTTTTGGCAGCTGTTGATGTGAGAGAGCTGCTTGATCACCATCCCCTACATGCAGTGAAGTCATTCAGCGAGACTGATGACAGTTTATACATTTCACTGCGCTATAGACTTTTTTAGAAAATCAGCTTACTGCCACCAGGTGTGTGTACAGTAGGTATGACACTTTGTAAATAGCATTTTTACTCGTCAAGTCCATTTTTTCCTGCCATATTTGTTTAGTGGTTAGCTATAAATGCTGCTTAAAAGGTGCCTTTGGACTACAGGGATGATCATGCGATGGAGTACTGGGATGTTTCTGTAAATACTGGGATGGATGTGATAAATTGTACAGTAAGTATTTTTTGTTTAATCTGTCTACATATCGTTGCTGTTGGGCAGAAACCTTGTGTCTCCATATTTAAACTATGTTTTTTATATTTGTAAATGTACTAATTCGTCATAGTGTTGTACAAAAGTAGTTCAAATAGATCTACAAGCTCCCAATGTCAAGAGCTTGTCGATTGGCTATTTCACAATTTTTAAATGTTAAAAATTATAAAAGGAACAATTTTGGACATACACGGTTTCCACCCGACGGTGACGATGTACAGTAGTAGTCACTGTCAGTTAAGAAGTTACATGTTTGTTTTATATCTTTTTCAATTTGCCGCAGATCTGCATGGTCCAAACTTGTCGCATTTTTCATTCACTCGGGTGAAGGGTTTCTGAGTGGTTTTGTGTCTGCTTAGGGGTCAATATAAACCATACTTTACACAGGTCTCTGAATTTATCAAAACTTTGGCGTGGTGCATATCTCTCACACCATGCATACTGTGTGCAGTCTTCTGAGTCCGCTGGTGTGGTACACTGATTTACATTACTGATGCTCATCCGGCAATTCTAGGTGGCTGTCACTGTTTGTTACATTAACCTGGGTTCTGTTTAGATTGAACCTGCTGTGCCACCTACAAGTCCTGATGTCCAACCAACTGCCACAACTCCACCCTCCATGGAGGACCAAACGGCACCTGTCGTACCAGCGATGATACCTCAAACACTACATATAATTCCACAATTTGTAAGCTCCACTTTTTAAGACTTGGGTTTCACTTTTTTCTTTAATCAACACTAAAGAGTAATAAACGATATCTGTGATGTTGTCCCTTCTTGCAATTTTCTCAGGATATCCGCCAGATTCTCACAGGCTCAACTGAAGGCAAGCTGATCCTGGGGAGCCTTGATGAGGATGTGATCATCCCTTCGCAAAGAAAGTGCCTTGTCCGTATTTTGGTGTCTCACCTCATGGAGAAGTTTGGAGAGAGGTAATTAAAAATAGTGGGTTTTTTTTCTTGTTTTTAGTGAATGTTATGTTAGTTTGAAAAAGGTATATGAATCTTCTTTCAGGGGAAAAGAATAAGACGGGACACTACTTTCAAGTCTGACCTTTACCTAGACCACCAACATAAACATGCACAACACATGTACCAAAACACACGTTCAGTAGTGTTTTTAATTTATTAGGATGCCTATTAGCTGCAGAATATGCTACAGCCATTATACTGGGGTGCAACACATGTTTTAGAAATACTTAAGATCTAATTTGACTCTGCTGGTAATTTAGTTTTTCTGTGTTTGCAGTCCTACCAGTGAGACAAAAAAGGCCTTGGCTGCAGCTTTGATTCATGGGTTTCCCTCCTTGAAGGACGAGTCGGACTCAAGCAGTGGCTTCGTAAGTAATTAACATTTTATTGAGGAATTGATGCTAAAACAGTCAGTTGAACACAATATAACTCATCTCCCAGCACCAGAGTACTGGACTTCTGTGCTGTTTGATGCCCGGTGTTGTCAGACAGACATACAGACAAACCCTGTTCTAGATGGCTCAGCCACATGTTGTCGCCACGCTATCAAAATGTGCCTCATCTCTATTCACCAAAGACTTTCATTTCTTGACAGGGATACTGGTTCACCCCAGGACGGAACCGCCGCCCAGCCACTGGATTCCTCGAAGAGAGGCTTCGGAACGTCAGAAAGAGGATGAGAAAACCGGCCAGGTCACAGAGCACGCAGCAGACACCACCACAAAGTAGTGAAGCTAGCACTCGTAGGACATTCATACCAGGTAATCGTTGGAACTGAATAATTTGTTTAAGCAATACAGACATATAATTTGAGATTGTTAATATCCTTATGTGTACTTTTATAGAATGTACCATATCGGAAGAAAGAGCCATACAGTGTAAAGAATGGCTGAAACACAATTCGCAGCCCCTCAACCAGGTGGAGCAATACATGCAGGATACAGCAGTGTACAGGTCAGTAGGAATGCACTGAGGACACTAGCTGCAGCACTCATTCAATGTCATTTTGCCTATGCATGCACCTCATGGTACTGTAGCACCTCAAGTCATTCAAATCTGAACTACAGACTTCTCAAAACAAACTACTACTAGACCTCTCACACCTATGACCTAACCCCTGCTCATTATGATGCTATAGTGGGATGGCTCAGGGGAGGACAGAGTACAGCAACTTGCAATGGGCCTGGTTTTCAAGGGACCAGTGCCATGTACCTGTCAAAATAAAAGGGCACAACACCAGTGGGAGCTCCATTACTCTTTCCCCCCCCCCCCCCATAATCGGCACAAACATGGGGATGAATGCATTTTACTATTATGCTACCAAAATGTGGAACACCCTACCACCAGCCATCAAGAAAGTGCAACTCCTTACCCTCCAAAACTGCCATACAAGAGCACCTGTCTGCAACTGCCCTCAGGGCTTTTTGTGATATCCTTTTAACATTCTTGTACTGCTGTACTTTCTGCAAACTATCAAACAGGGCCAAGTCTTTAAGGGAAAACGGGTGGGACATTCAGGGGATCCGCCAAGAGTTCCCACATCTATTCACTCCAGGCATGGTAAGTTAGGAAGGAGTATATGTTTACATATGATGTGGATGCATTGTTTATAACAATCTTTTATCAGTATGTCAGCTGCCACATTGAATTTTCTTTTTCAATTTTTCATTTAGATTGCACAGGACTTTCAGATCCTACATGGAGAGGCTGCGCCTAAGCTCTTCGAAACCTGGCTACCTTTGTTTAAAGACAAGATACTGCACCTGGCGAGACGGGAAGGGAAACTTATCTCGTCGCTTGATGGATTAACACCCGGTAATACATTGTTATATTGTACAGCAGACTTTATTTTGCTACTAAATGACCAATTCACAGATATGCCATGCCACATATTGATACCTATAAAATTGTCTTCCTACAGATTGTTTGGGGGAACTTGCTCTGAGCCAGTTACCAACACTGCTTCCACCAACTGTCTACAGGGTTGGCCGAAAAGTGTTCCGGTACACTATCGAGGAGTCTAAGTTGGCCTTCATTGATCATAAGCCTGTAAGTCCCTCTGCATATCTAAAGGGAAATGTTATTCTTTTAATCACTTGAACCCAGCATCCATATTCTTGGGGGGGTGGCGGGGACATTAGCCAAACATGGCAGCTAGATCGGCTATTTTTGGCGAAGAGATTTGGTGAAGATGGAAAACAGTGGTCTAAAGTACAGAGCCAACCCAGGTCCAGTTTAAGTGGTTAAGAATGTGCCTGACTGCCTGTTATTCCTGGGCTCAAGAATAATTCAGAACATTGTTTCTGAATATGCATTGTATCAGCCACTGCCAAATCTTGCTTACTCTTTGCTTTTGCACAATCTTTTACTTTGTTTAATTTATCTTGTCTTTTGTTCTTTATTTCTTTCTCAGGTTGGAACAAACTTGGTGGAGTACCTCCATGAGGCGAAGGTGTCAAGACCTTACCCATATGTCCTGTCCCTGGGAAACGATATTTGGCACACCTCTCAGGCGTTCGTTATTCTTGATGGGGAGGCGTTGGAACAAAACACATTGCTTCAGGCAGTAGATGTCTGTATCAAGGTATTCTATATCTTTGACATCGACTACACAAAGCAGTGTGAAGCTGTATGGAAATTCCTCCAAAATGCAGTGTACGAAATCAAGGGAGGAGAGGAGTCAAAACCTGCTACGTCCTTGCGTGCAGCAATACTTGCTTGCAAGTAGACTTGTGGTCTTGATCCTTTTATTTTCTTCTGCTGGTCCTCCTGTTCTATTCTCTCTCTTCTGCTGCTTGGCTCAGAGTAGGGTTCTATCTGGTTAAATTAAATATTGCTGGATTTGTGAAGTGTGTGTGTGTTATGTTCAAAATACTACCTAATGCTCAAAGTATTTTATGAGCAAGTTGTGTGCTAAAAAAAGAGCTAAATGGTGGAAGCATAAATTGTTAAAATGTTTATTTGCACATCTTAGTTTCCTGTAGTTCGGATCACCTAAAGGAGCAGTACATTGTTGTGATCATGTTGGAGGATTTTCTTTGTAACGTTTACATAGCCAGTATATGAACCAGTCATTTCTGAAAAAACGTATGTTGCTATTAGTGGTTCTCAAACCAGAGCTTGTAGATCTGCTAATGTGTGTTGTTTACAGGCTGTACTGTACATGCATAAATGTTAAGTTTTGTTTAAAGAAAGTTTTGCACTTTATTGTGAACTGAATATGTTTGCACTTTATTGAACTGTCAATTGTTATAACAATAAAATGAATATTTTTCTAAGATTCCAACATTGTTTAAAAGCGTTTATTGCATATTATATTATTTGCATGACCAAATATAGGATGCATTTTAAAAGGGTTTGTAATTTAAATGTTTAAGAGACATGGGTATTGCATTAAAAACATGACAATAATAACTTGTAGAATTAACCCATCGCAGCTATTATGACCCAGCATTTGGGTGTAATATTTAACCCAATTCATGCTAGAATTAACCCAGGGCTGTAATTAATTTGACCCAGCATTTGGATTAAATGTATAACCCATCTGCTGGGTTAAAATACGCAACCCATTTCGTTGGGTCAAATTAACTACTGCTGGGTTGGTCCAATATTGATCCTGGCGTTGGGTTAAAAAACGACCCAAATTGGGTTGTTTTTAACCCAGCATTTTTTAGTGTGTAGCCCTTTGGTATCAGAATAAGGAGAGCAGGACTCTGCTGCAGTCTGCACTCAGCATGTCAGTCACACACACACACACACACACACACACACACACACACACACACACACACACACACACACACACACACACACACACAGAGCCATATGTGTGGGGAGACATACACATCACAATCACAGAAACCATGGAGGGTTTTCTAACTCACCCAAAAGTACACACAAATATGTACACGCACACTCGCATTCACATGCACAAAAGTTACAAAGGCTGACATGGATTTATGTTTCCCACTGCTGAAGGAAACAAGCCTCTGGAAAAGGGGAAAATTCAACCAAAGACTGGGAACAACCATTGTTCAGAATGAGGCACACACAAACAAGGACAAAACACCCCCACACTCTTAACTGGAAATAGTTTATTGACTGTGCAGTGTTTAAAGCAGACTTGTGTGTGTACGAGGCTGTTGATTTAGTCCCTCCATGCTACTGTGCACTGTCTCCTTAATGGAATAATTGAGTCTGGGACTTTTATTGACACATGCACGCATGTTAAAAAAGCACACATGCTCACATTGATTAATGCTGATTGACTAAATCTGTGGAGTATGTTCGCTGTGATCATTGATAAAAATCCCTAGGATTTAAGTTATTTGAATGGAAATGAAGCACAGCACAGGATTATGTTTGGTTACTGTCTTGGGGTGAAATGTGTGTGTTTCCATGAAATGGAATTTGTGGAAGTGATTTGTGAGACGACTGGGGACAACGAGATTTTAATGAGCGTTTGTTTGATTTGGGAATTGGAAACTGGAAGGTATTTTCTTTATGCTGATTTGCTCTGCTTAGTAATAAAGTAAATACTGTGTGTGTGGTTTTCTTTTCTTTTATACATTCATTTTTCTCTGGTTTCATCCTCCTTCCTGCCTTGTATTATTTTCTATTGTCTAACCTTTGTTCGAAATTCAATATTTCTAAACACAGAAGAGAAAATGAGATCTTAACAAAGCTAGAGAGAGGGTAAATTAAGGAGAAATTACGTGAATCTTTTCTGCGACTCTCTTTCTCTACCAATCTCCTGCTCAGTCAATGAACGCAAGTGGGGGGGGGGAAAACACAAACAAAAGGAAAATAATCTATGCACCTCCATCTTTCCTCAGCCTCTTGACAACTCCACAGCAATCGATAATCAATCCCTAATCTCTCACATCTCTCTGACCGCCTCTCTCTTTCCTTTCAAACCTTTCCATGTCACTAGCTAAGATATTGAATCTGCTGAGAAACAGGACCATGCAGACAGACACAAATTACGTGTTCTCGCATGGTCACATGCATACAGGTGAAAAGAAAACCGCTTTTAAAATACAATAACCAATCAAATACTAAAAACTAATTTGCAAAAAAAACATTTCAGCCAACAAACATTTTCTTCCAAGAGCAAAAAAAGTGATCACATGATGATTACACAGGATGTGGTTCACTTCTGTCATGCACATTCAGGTTTGGTTTCAGAAGGGGCTACTTCTTGGCTGCAGCCACTAGAAGTCTTAGGCCCGTCCACACGGAGATTAAACAATATAGTTATTTATCGTATGGACGGTTTGTCCACACGAGGCCGTAACGGAACCGCGGAAACGGAGCCCTCAAACCATAACGCATCCCAAAGTGGGAAGATCTGGTAATGTAACGCTTGCGGCACCGTGTGTAATACGCCTAAACGATCATAGCCCGCCTCTCCTGCTCACCCCCGTGTCACCACAGATGCATTTCGCCGACAACAACAACAACAATGGTGGATCACAGGGTTGCGTTTGTGCTCCAGACGCTACTGACCATGATACAGATGTTAGTGCAAAATCTACAGCTCCTCTACCACAACCATGAACTACATGTTGCTAAATCCACCGCGGAGAATAACCAGAAGGGCAACCAGGCAACCATGGCAACCATGCTCGGGGGGTCTTCTTCGCTGCTTTTGGTGTCTTTTGTTACGGAAGTACAGCGCCACTTACAGGCCCGGCATATGTACTACACCGGTCTCGTGTGGACGGACACGTTTCTTGAGCCAATTCCGTGTGGACTGAAGACTTTTTTGATATCGACATCGGTTCGTTTTCATTTTCGTCTCCGTGTGGACGGGGCCTTACTGGAACCATGAGGTTACCAGGCAACCACAGGAGACGACAGTAAGTTACTGCACCTGGCAAGGCAAGGCTGCAAGGCAAGTTTATTTATATAGCACCTTTCAGCACACGGCAACCCAAAGTGCTTTACAAAATACAATAAAAGACATTTAAGAATAAATACAGCAGAAGCATATTATAAAATGGCATTTAAAAAACAGGCATTTATCATCATCATCATCTTTATTTAAAGAGACTCTTGGTCCATTATTACAAAACATACAACACTCAAATATAAATTTAAAAAGGCAGTTATACCAATGTTTCCACAGAGGTGACTGGTATCGTGCAGCACTGAAACACGGATTTGACAGCAGCATAATGACAGAGTTATGAGAAATATTCAATCGACAGATGAATTTGTACATCAGATTTCTCAAAAGAGCATGGAACGTGTTGACTCGTGCGTTACAGAACATTTCACTTGCACTGCACCACCTTGGTTTTCTAAGCAGTATACGCAAACAGTCATTATAAGCAACCTGGAGCTTCCGGAGGCTCGCCTTCTTATACTTGACCCACAAGGGGGCAGTATAGAGAGGAGTGCAATAAGCTCTAAAGAGATTCACCTTAACCTTATCTGAACACCAAGAGAGTTTTCTAGCCAACATGTTGGCTTGCATATATAAGACACGCCGCTGTCTATACATGTCATCATCATCAGCCATTTCATCTGTGATGATGTGTCCCAGATACTTAGTGTTACAGCAAACAGACAGCACCTGTCCTGACAGATAGAATGTTGGAAAACAAAGGTTCTTATCCCCTTTTGCTCTGCAGATCATTACAGCGCTCTTCTTAGCATTGTATTTAACATCAAATTTGACTCCGTAATCAGAACAAACATTTAGCAACTGTTGAAATCCAGCACTGCTAGGAGAAACAATTGCCAGATCATCAGCATACATAAGATGGTTTATAATCACATTACCAATCACATACCCTGTTTTACAGACACTTAAATCATCTGATAGATCATTCATATAGATATTAAAAAGGCATGGTGAGAGGAGCCCCCCCTGGCGGACTCCATTACCAACACCAAATGGCGCCGAGACTGCATTCCCCCATTTTATCCGCATGCTCTGGTTGGAATACCAATAAGCCAGGATCCTAATCATACTGTTGGGCACACCCCTTTGTCTCAATTTGTCTCAATTTTTTCATTTAAAAAGCAAATATAATAAAATAAACACAACAGGTATAAAATACATGAATAAAAGCCATAGGCCTACTGCAGTGGGAATATGACCAACCATCTGACCAAAAGATACGTTTTTAGTCAAGATTTTAAAGTATTAACAGTTGCAGCTGACCTGCAGGATTCAGGGAGTTTGTTCTAGATGGTCGGGGCATAACAACTAAACGCTGCTTCTCCATATTTAGTTCTGACTCTTGTAACAGAGAGCAGACCCGTCCCAGAAGACCTGAGACTCCTGGATGGTTCATACTTCTGCAGGAGATCGTTAATATAATTTGGTCCTAAACCATTCAGTGCTTTAAAAACCAGCACTTTAAAATCAATTATTTGGTAGACTGGAAGCCAGTGTAAAGACTTCAGTACTGGACTGATGTGATCCACTTTCTTAGTGTTAGTGGACACGAGCAGCGGCGTTCTGAATCCGCTGCAGCTTTAATGGATTTTGTGAAGACACTATTACAGTAGTCGAGTCTACTGAAGATCAAAGCATGGACACGTTTTTCCAAATCCTGCTGTGACAT